TCTACTCTCCCCTGACCAACTATACTGAAAAAGCTCCCTCTCTCCTCTTGGCCATGCGTTTGCATGCGTGCCTGCAGCACGTGCGCACGTCTGTGATGGTCACATATATAGTGTTTGAGTGATGGCGCACTGGTGGAGGAGGGGGAAAGGAGGGGAGGAGGAGGAAGAGGAGGAAAAGAAGCCTATAGGGGGAGGGGAGGAGGAGGAGGAGGAGGAGGAGGAGGAGGAGGAGCAGAAAGAGGAGAAGGAGGAGCATGTGGGGGGAGAAGGATCGAGGAGGGGTAAGAAAGGATCCATGTGGACCAGGGCGCCGCGAGCGAAGTCGCTCCAGAGAGGCTGGACTGCCCACTCGCCTGGGGAGGGAAGCTACAAGGAAGGGGGGGAGGATGTATGTATATATATATATATATGTTGATCATTGCGACTGACCGCGCAAGACACTCAAACCCAGAGGTCCGATGTCGTGATTTGTTCATCATCCTGAGTCGTAGAGGCCGCACATTGAGCAAAACGTCCGTCGTGATTTTTCAAGACGTTGGATCTCTGGGAAGGTCTCACTTCGTTTCACCGCCCGTGTTCGCATCGGATCACGCATGATACTCAAAGTATCATTTCGTTTCACCACCCGTGCGTGGACCACGCATGCAGATCAACTGGATCGAGGTGTGGCGCGCTGGAAATGGTGGTCGCGCACCTCCCCCCATTCTTCACACGTTGCAGTGGAGGAGGCGCACACGTCCTGGAGTTCTTGTTTTGTCATACCTGCAGCCCTTGATTGCACGCATCGTCTCTTTGAGGGATCCGACATCCAAGGGATTTCACAGCCTGTCTTTGAAACCCCCTTCAAAACAGGAAGGCCATTCGACACCCACCCAGGGGATTTAAGAGGCCCCCCCTGTAAAAATATAGATATACATACATACATATATAAATATAAATATACATACATACATACATACATACATACATACATACATACATATATACATGTATGCATATATACATATGTGTGTTTCCTCCTCCTGCTCGCCTTTCCTCCTCCGCCTCCTCCTCCTTACTCGTCCTCCTCCTCCTCGAGCCTCCTCCTCCTCCGTTCTCCTGCTGCCCCCCCCAGCCTGCGCCAGGTGGCGCCGTTCGTGGTGATCGAGAAGAGCCGCCCCGCCCGCCCGACCCGCCGCCAGACGCGTTCCGTGGCCCCATAGGGAGTTCCAGGACGAGGAGGAGGGGGAGGAGGAGGAGGAGGAGGAGGAGGATCCTCCTCCTCGTCCTCCTCCTACTCTTCCTCTTCCTCTGCCTTCTCCTTTTCCCTCCGTTCCCTCGCCTCGTCCTCCTTTTCCTCCTCCTTCCCTCCCCTCTCCTCCTCTGACCGCTCGTTGGATCTGAAGCCGCTCGTTGGTTTTCACGACCGCTCGTTGCCGCGCTGTGCTTCCGATGGCAGTGTCTTGATTTTTTTTTAAACGTCTTGATATCGAGATAGATTTCTGTTTTTTCAAGGCGTTTCAGGACGTCTTGAAAAAATCAAGACGCAGGATCTCAGGGTTGCTTAGGCTGAAACTCAGGATCCCTGTAAACAGCAGCCTCAGGCATTCTCTGCCATACCCCCAGCCAGGGCCCGTCGATTGTTGTGCTTGATCGCTCAGAGGAGTAGTATTGAGGCCCCTCTCGACGACGTTGTCAAGGAGGCGGAGCGGCAGTAGTAGACGATGGCATTCGATGAGACGATCGTGCCCCATGCAGGGCCAGACGAGAGGAGAGCCCTGACGACGTTGTCAAGGAAGCGGAGCGGCAGTAGTAGACGATGGCATTCGATGAGACGATCGTGCCCCATGCAGGGCCAGACGAGAGGAGAGCCTTGCAAAGGGCGTGGTGGGAGGGGGAGGGGGGCGTCGGTGGGTTCCGGGGGAGAAATTGCGGGGTGGGGGGTCCCAAGAACGGAGCTGCCGTGGATGGGGGTGTCGGGGCGTGGTGGGAGGGGGGGGGGGGGGCGTCGGTGATTCCGGGCGAGAAATTGCGGGGTGGGAGTCCCAAGAGAGAGCTGCCGTGGATGGGGGGCGTCGGGCGCGGTGGAGGGGGGGGGGGTCGGTGGGTTCTGGGCGAGAATTGCTGGGTGGTGTCACAAGAACGGAGCTGCGTGGGGGGTGTGTGCGTGGGAAGGGGGGGGGGGCGTCGGTGGGTTCCGGGCGAGAAATTGCGGGTGGGAGGTCCCAAGAACGGAGCTGCCGTGGATGGGGGTGTCGGGCGTGGTGGAGGGGGAGAGGGGGGGGGGGGGTCGGTGGGTTCTGGGCGAGAAATGCGGGGTGGGAGGTCCCGAGCAACGGAGCTGCCGTGGATGGGGGTGTCGGAGGCGTGGTGGGAGGTGGGGGAGGGGCGTCGGTGGGTTCCCGGGCGAGAAATTGCGGTGTGGGAGGTCCCAAGAACGGAGCTGCCGTGGATGGGGGTGTCGGGCGCGGTGGGAGCGGGGGGGGGCGCGGTGGGTTCCGGGCGAGAAATTGCGGGTGGGGAGGTCCCAAGAACGGAGCTGCCGTGGATGGGGGTGTCGGGACGCGGTGGGAGCGCGGGGGGGGGCGTCGGTGGGTTCCGGGCGAGAAATTGCGGGTGGGAGGTCCCAAGAACGGAGCTGCCGTGGATGGGGGTGTCGGGACGTGGTGGGAGCGGGGGGGAGGGGGGGGGGGGGGCGTGGGTTCCGGGCGAGAAATTGCGGGGTGGGAGGTCCCAAGAACGGAGCTGCCGTGGATGGGGGTGTCGGGGCGCGGTGGGAGGGGGGGGGGCGTCGGTGGGTTCCGGGCGAGGGATTGCGGGGTGGGGGGTCCCAAGAACGGAGCTGCCGTGCATTGCCGTGGATGGGGGTGTCGGGGCGTGGCGGGAGCGTGGGGGGGGGGGGCGTCGGTGGGTTCCCGGCGAGAAATTGCGGGGTGGGAGGTCCCAAGAACGGAGCTGCCGTGGATGGGGGCGTCGGGGCGTGGCGGGAGCGTGCGGGGGGGGCGTCGGCGGGGAGCTGCCGTGGATGGGGGTGTCGGGACGTGGTGGGGCGCGGGGGGGGGGGGCGTCGTTGGGTTCCCGGCGAGAAATTGCGGGGTGGGAGGTCCCAAGAACGGAGCTGCCGTGGATGGGGGTGTCGGGGCGTGGTGGGGCGTGGGGGGGGGCGTCGGTGGGTTCCGGCGAGAAATTGCGGGGTGGGAGGTCCCAAGAACGGAGCTGCCGTGGATGGGGGTGTCGGGGCGCGGTGGGAGCGCGGGGGGGGGCGCCGGTGGGTTCCGGGCGAGAAATTGCGGGGTGGGAGGTCCCAAGAACGGAGCTGCCGTGGATGGGGGCGTCGGGGCGCGGTGGGGGCGCGGGGGGGGGGGGGCGTCGGTGGGTTCCGGGCGAGAAATTGCGGGGTGGGAGGTCCCAAGAACGAGGTTTCGGGCGGGGGAGGGCGAGGAGGGGGGCGTTGGTGGGTTCCGGGCGGGTGAGGGCGAGGAGGGAGGCGTTGGTCGGCGTTGGAGGGTTCGGGCCAGAACGTATCGTGTAGAGGACGTGGGTGGGAGATCCCAGGGCGGAGAGGCATTGAGGGGTGGTGAAGTGTCAAGGAGTGAGGTGTCGATGGCATTCGTGTAGGCTTAGCACAAGGGATATCGCACGCGCCTCTAGGGTCGGCGGATTTTGGCGGTCCTGGTGCCCGAGACGGGCCTCGAGAGGCAGGATCAAATTGTGAAACATTTGCGTGCCGTTTTGTTGGAGTGGCCAGGTGTCTGAGTTGTGGACCCGTGGATCAGGCCAATCCAATTTGGGGGAGCTGCGGCTCTTATCGCCCTTATCCCCCGTGGGGGTCGCGAGCCAGGGGGGCGGAAGGAACTGCCTTAGTTGCCGGTGGTCGGGCGGGCAGCAAGCAACGGGGGACCAAACGGGGAGAAGGAAGGAAGGTGCATTTCCCGACTCCTTTTCGATGCGGGGTTGCAATTCAGGCTCCATCTGGGGCCCGTTGCGTGCCGTTCTCCTAAGTATGTGGGTGGTGTCTGTGATGGTGTTGCTTCGGTTTCGGTCCTGGTGTAGGTTATGGTTTCGGTTGTGGTGCCAGTTTTGGTTTCGGTTTGGTTTCGCTTTGGGTATTGTTTTTTTGGGCCTGGTCCCAGTTCTTTTCTCTTTCGCCGGGGTCCAGAATGTCGCGCTCGCTCTCCTGCACCCCATTCCTCCACTCTCCAGCGCCATCCCCCACTTCTCACGTCCACCCCCTCAGATCAGACGCGAAACAGAGACGACCGCCACCGAGAACCCATCGCGGGGGGCGACCCCTGGGCGGTGGCACGCCTGAGCGTCGTCTTTTATTGGGTTGCGCTCGGGCGTGCCATGGCCCAGGGGTCGTCGACCCCCCGTCCCCGATGGGTGTTCGGTGGCTGTGGTCGCTGCTGCCCCTCCGAGGAGGGATATCACCCGCTGCAGTAACTGTTTTGCCCCCCCCCGCCCCCGTTCTGTGGTGGCAGCGGCGCACACACACGCGCACACACACACACACACACACAGACACACACACACACAAACAAACACACACACAAACACACACACACACACACACACACACACACACACACACACACACACACACACACACACACACACACACACACACACACACACACACACACACACACACACACACACACACACACACACACACACACACACGCACGCACGCACGCACGCACGCACGCACGCACGCACGCACGCACGCACGCACGCACGCACGCACACACACACACACACACACACGTGTGTATGTGTGTACATATATGTCCGTATACTGGTTCCCTGTATGCGCATACCCGTCTTCCCCCCTTTGGCCAGGACACGCCGCCCCAACACGTCCGTAGCCTGTTTGGGCTCTAGGATCCATGCATTCTTCGGGGTCACGGCCACGAGTGTCTCGGTGGCCGCGAGGCCTGCTGCGAGGCCCGCCATCCGCCCTCCTCGCGCTCCTGGCGGCAGCACTGGGAGGGGACGGTCGCTGGCCTGACTCGCGGCAGGCGCGAGGCTGGGTGGCCCAGGCGGATTTCGAGGACCTCGACGGTGGAGACGAGGACCTCTGGGGGGCGCTGGAGGCCGTCGTGCCCGCGCCCGAGGTGGACGGGCCCGTGCCGATCGACCCGTTGGCGGTGGCCCAGGGCGAATGCTACTGCAGCACGGGCAGCGCAGCAGGCGGCCTTGAGCAGTGCCGGTTCGCGTGGCGGGCGCTGCGGGTCTCCAGCGCAGTGCCGCCGCGGCGCTTCGCGAAGGCCGAGTTTTTTGTCCGCGACGACGGCTACTGGGACTGGTGGGCCAGTCAGCCTGGGCAGCCGAGCGCGGTGACAGAACGCCCGCTCATCCACGTGTGCTCGGGGAACCCGTGCTCAGTCGTGGAGGGGCCGGGGACGTGCACCGAGCTGGTCCACGTGGCGGACGGGGGGGAGCTCGGCCTCACGGACCTGCGGGCGCTGTTCGTCGAGTGCCAGGAGGCGCGCCCGGAGGCGGCTTGGCCAGGGGCATGCCTCGGGCCGCTGGTCGCCGCCGCCGCCCCCGCGAGGCCTGCTGCGGTGGCCAGAGCGACGGGTCGCCCGCCAGCCGCAGCAGGCCCTTCCAGGGCCCCGCCTGGCGCTGCCCCCTTCGACGACTTGCGAAGCATAGGTGGCTCGTCGCGCGGCCCTGGCTCAGAGCTGGCCGCAGACGAGGAGGCAGCTGCCGCGGGCGGCCTGGGGGGCAAGCTCGCAGGGGCTCGCGTGCGCCTCGAGGAAGGGAAGCGGGCTGCTGAGGACGTCAGCCTGAGCGGTTTCCCCCTCGGCGCAGAGGCGGCTGGCAAGGAGCCTGTGAAGAAGCGGTCGCTCGGGGACCTGCTGGTCGAGCGCGCCGCGAAGCTCGCGAGGGCCGCCTCGGACGCGGGCCCCCGAGGGTCAGGGGGCCCCGTGCCCGAGCGGGCGCCGCCAGGAGCTGGTCTGAGCGGCGGCACGGCGGAGCTGGCGCAGGCGGTCGCGAAGGCCATCCGCGAGGGCAAGGAGGCCCCCCCTGGCGGCAGCGGCGGGGGCGGCCTCGGCTCCCTGGACCCCGCGGCGGTGCCGCGCGACCCGGCCACGAGGAGGGCCTTCTGTCGTCGGACGGCCGCCGCCTCCACGGGCCGCCTCACAGAGCTGAGCCTGCAGCAGATGGCGGACTTCCTGGACTCGCAGGAGGGGGGAGGCGGCCGTCGACGTGACGGGCCCGATCGCGCTGCGGTACCTCCTCACGGTCTACCTGCCGCAGCATCCGGTGAAGGAGATCGGCGTGCAGACGCACCGTGTGCTCCGCACCCTCGCGGAGGCGGTGGACCTGCTGATGCAGGGGAAGGTGGCCCACGCCTGCGACCTGATCGTCCAGCGCCTAAGGGCGCTGCAGGTGGCAACGACGGACGGCTCGTGGGCGGCGGCGAGGTGGTTGGTACTGATCCCGCCGCGCAACGATCCCACGGCCATCTGCAGCGAGGAGGAGAGCTCATCCGCAGCATCCAGCTCGGCGGGGTGAGGTTGGACGAGCTCTCCGCGCGCCTGGCCTCCGCCAAGGCGCCGGGATGGGGCGGAGGCCCGACGGGGGCGCGCCCGCCGCTGGCGCCTCCGTCTGTTGGCCAGGGGTCGGCAGCCCCACCGCCGTGGAATATGTCCTTCGCGGAGATGCGGAAGGAATTCCCGAAGCAGCCAGTGGAGACGAACACCCCGCACCGCCTGCGAGCCTTCAAAGCTCGCGCGGCGGCGCGCCCCCGTCGGACCTGAGCGGCGGCAGGCTGCCGCCTGCCCCGCGCTATGGTGGAGCCTCCTCAGGGAGGGTGGCCGATGCCTCCATCAAAGGCGCGAGCCCTGCGAGGGGTGCTGGTGGGGGAGTCCGCGGCGGAGGCCAAGCTCGGTTTACCGAGAGCGGAGATCGTGCCACCCTATGCGAGGGGGGTGAGGGCGTCGCGGAGCCCCCGCTGGCCACCGCGCTGCAGTGCTGGGCCGACGAGCTCTCCCTCGGCTTCGGCAAGAGCATCGTCGCGGTCGACCTGGCGGCGCAGCTGGCAGCAGCAGTACGACGCCACCCAGGCAGCCTTGGCCACTTCGCTCGGTCGTTCAGCATGCGTGCGGACACATTTTGTGGGAGCGGAGGGTCGTCGAACAGGAGGGTTCGGGACGCCCTGCCGCTTCCCCTTCCGTCGACCGAGGAGGTGGGCCGCCGGCTGGCCCACAGTGCCTTGCCCGAGGCACGCAGGTGCCGCCGCCGCGCCGTGGCGCGGGAGGTCAGCGAGCAGGTGTGGCTGCACCTCAGCGTGGTGGCGCTCAACTATGCGCTCTGCGGCCGCTCGCAGGGAAGCTGGCGCCACAGGCTGACCCTGTCGAAGGCGCAGGCGCGGGTCTACGTGCATTTGGAGAGCCGAGCGGCGGCCTTGGCGGAGGACCCGCTCGCTATGGTCGTGGCCCCTGCGATCGACGAGCTGGCGGGCGGCTGCGAGTCAGCGTACGAGGGCGAGACAGGCTCTGCGAGCTGGCCCCTGGCCTGCCCACGCGGGGGTGTGCTGCCGCGCTCGACGCGACCGACTTCGTTGGCGCCGAGGTCGGCGCCTGGCTGCGCCGCCCCGAGCTGGCGCTCCTCGACCAGTCCGACTGGCCCGACCCGTCGCCGCGGGCCCGCGTGAACGTGGAGACGGAGGCGGACTGGGAGGAGCTGGTGCTGCGCCTCGTGTCGCTCAGCATCTTCACCACGCTCGCGGAGAGCGAGCTGGTCCGCGTGAGGGGCGAGCCCGTGCTGATCGGCCTGTTCGCGGTGGAGAAGAAGGGCACCCCAGCGCCTGACGCCACGCGGGTCACCAGGCTCATCCCCGACATGGTGCCAGGCAACTCGCTCCTGAAGGCCCACGTGGGCGAGGCGGCGCTGCTCGCGGCCTCGGCGTCCTGGACGGCGGTCGTGATCCCCGACGGGAAGCTGCTGCTGTGGTCGGGCGACGACCAGAAGGGGGCCTTCTTCGTGTGGCGGGTCTCGCCCGCGTGGCACCCCTACATGGCCGTGGGGCGGCCGCTCGCGGGCGAGCTGTTTGGCCGCTCGGAGCCCGTCGTCTACGTGACCTCGGCTGTCATCGCCATGGGCTGGTCGCTTGCGGTGCCCGTCTTCCCGCACATTCACCGACGGCAGTACCGCCTGGCGCCGCCCCTCGGGGCGGGGCTTCCCCTAGACGGGGAGTGGCGCAGGGATTGCGCGCGGCCCCTGGTCGAGGCTGGCAGCGGCCAGGACGCTGGCTGGTGGCAGGGCTACATCGACGACTGCGATGCGCCGGAGATCGTCGAGGAGGTTTTGGCCTGCAAGCTCGTAGGGGCCCCGAGCGACCTCCAGCTGCAGGTCCGCGCCAGCTGCGAGAGGGCGAGCGCCTCCTTCTCGGCCGAGAGGGCGCACTGCAGGCAGCTGAGGGTCAAGCGCATGGGCGCGGACGTCGACGGCGTCGGCGGGCGCCTCGCGGCCCCCGCCTCCAAGGCGCTGTCCACTGCGGGCCTTTGCTTGGCCGCGGTGCCGCGGCGCCTGGTCCCGTGGCGCGTTGCCATGGCGGCCCTCGGCATGCTCGCGAGGGCCCTCGAGTTCAGGCGGCCGCTCTTCGGGGTCCCGCACTCCGTCTGGGCGCTGGCTGCGTCCTCAGCGCAGGAGGCTCACCTGGACGCGGAGATGGTGGAGGATCTCCTCATGGGCGTGATGGTCCTGCCGCTGGCCGCCTCCTCGCTGCGGGCGCGCATCGACGGCATGGTCACGTCCTCGGACGCGTTGGAGATGGGCGGCGGCGTGTGCACGTCGGCCGGCCTGCGCGAGGATGTCGCCGCCGCCTTGCAGGTGCCGAGGACGGTCCCCGACCAGCTGGGGATAGGGGCCAGGCTCCTCGACATGGCCGAGGATCCCGCCCGACCGTGGGCGGCAGCCAACCCACGCGTCCCCGCCAGGGCAGTCCGCAGGGTGTTGTCGGTGCTGCTCATCGGCCTGTTCGACGGCATCGGAGGCCTCGCCGTCGCCTTCTCGAGGCTGCCCTTCCGCATCGCGGCCTGCGTCGCGGCCGAGACGGACGCCAAGGCGAGGCGCGTTGTCAGGCTCCGCTGGCCAGGTGTCATCGGCTGGGGCGACGTCACCCGCGTGGGCAGCGAGACGGTGCGGGACCTGTTCGAGGGGTTCGGCGGCCTCGTCGACCCCGTGGCGGTCGCTGCGGGCAGCCCCTGCCATCACCTGTCACGCCTCGACGTCGGCGGGCGCGGCCTCAGCGGTAGGGGGTCCTCGCTGCCCCACGAGGTGCCGCGTATCCTGGCTCTCCTCGCTGCCGTCTTCAGGGACGAGCTCGTTTGGTTCGTGGAGAACATGGCCAGCATGTCCAGCGTCAACGTGGAGCTGATCTCGGAGGCGCTGCAGGTGAGACCGACGCTGGTGTGCTCGTCGGTGTTCGTGCCGTGCCGCAGGCCGCGCCTGTTCTGGACGAGCTGGGGCGTCACCTCATCGGCGCCTCTTCGGCTGACCGACCGCGGGGTCTACGACGAGCTGGTGGGCCCTGGCGCCCCGCTTATGGACCTCGCGTGGGAGGACGAGGGCGGCTCTTGGCCAGGGAGACCGAGGTACACCTCCCTAGCCACCCGGGGCTCGAACCCTCAGGACGCCTTCGACGCCAGGGCCTTCCTCCTCGGCAACAGCTTCAGTATTCACGACGTGGCATGGTTGTGCCAGCAACTCCTGCACCGCCGCGGCGCGCTGGACAGGGAGTTGTCGATAGAAGAGGTGTCCCCCGTCCGCGAGTGCCAGGTGGCGTGGGGCCAGGCGGGGGCCTTCGTCACGGAGCCAGGGGAGCCGGACACCGCGGAGGCGAGGCAGCTGGTCCTGCACTACCTCAGCCGCACGGAGAAGGGCGGGTCGGACGTCAGGCTGGACTACGGCGTCCCCTACCGCCCGCGAGGTTGGCCGAGGACGAGCCTGGACCCGTTTGTGTGGAAGTGGCGCGCGGCGGTCAGCATGGCGTGGCCCGGGCGGAACTCCACCCACATAAACGTGAGAGAGCTGCAGGCGGCCGCGTCGGGGACCAGGTGGCGCGCCCGCAAGGTCGTGCAGCACGGGGGCAGGTTCTTGCACCTCGTCGACAGCCAGGTGGTCGCGGCCATCGTGACGAGGGGCCGCAGCAGCAGCAGGAAGCTCCAGCCCATCCTGATGCGCCGGATGGCCGTCGTCGTGGCGGCCGACATGCACCCACTGAACGGCTGCGTGGTCTCGGAGGACAACCCCGCGTGGCTCGGAGCCCAGGGGGCGAGGGCGACCCGTGCCGCGCGCGCGGCCGTTCACCGCAGGCCCGTGCCCGCAAGGCGCCGCGGGACGCGCTGCCAGACTCTCTCTTCCCTGACAGTGTCGGCGGAGACGCGGCGGCGCTACGGGCGGGCTCCGCGGGCCCTGCTGGCCCACTTCGGAGCTGAGCAGGCGGGGGCGGACGCTTTGCGCGGCGACCCCGAGGACGCCGACGCCCTCGTCGCGGAGTACCTCGGGGACCTGTGGGCCTCTGGTGCGGGCAGCGCGGCCGCCAGCAACACGCTGGCAGAGGTGTGCTTCGCAACGCCTCGCCTGAGGCGACACCCTGGCCTGAGCGGGACTCTCCTCAGGGCATGGAGGCAGCATGGGCCAGCGCCCAGGGTGCTGCTGCTCACGACCCAGGCCGTCGCGGCCATGGCGGGGATCGCTTGCGCTGCAGGCGCTTTCGACGCGGCCGCCCTGACGGCGAGCGACATCGTCGACCGCGACATCGTCGACGAGCTGTTCGTGGTCCGCATCAGCTCGTCCAAGACCACGGCTGGCAAGGACTGCGCGGAGGCAGTCATCGTCCGCGGCAGGATGGCCGTGGTGCTCCTGCGGATGGCAGGCCGCGGCCTTGGCGCAGGCGCGCGGCTCTCCACCGCACGCCTGTGCATCGAGGGCGCGGTGGCCAGCTCAGTGCCCGCCAGCCCGGGAGCAGGGCAGCCCGCGCCGTTGCGCGAGGACTGCGGCTCCTGCAGCTGGCCACTGTAAAAGGCCACCGCTTGCACCCTACAGTGCTTGCCAAAATTCGGGCGTTTGTCTTCGCTGCGGCGAAGGCAACCGCCCTCCCGCCGTGGGGCCGCCTGGCTCTCTCTCTCTCTCTCTCTCTCTCTCTCTCGCTGGTCCTGGTTTCCTGGGGCCCCTGGGCCCGCCCGTTGTGTGGGGCGTTCTCTGTTTGGGGCCCACGCCCGTCTCACCTCCTTCGCGCTTCGTGTCACCTCCTCCCGTCGCCTCCCCCCGTCGCCTCCTCCTCGAACGTGCCAACCCTTTCGGGGCCCAGCGGCCGTGAGAAGGGGACCCAGGGGGGGGATAACACTCTGCGCGGCCTGCCCTTTGGGCGTTGCCGCGCCGCTCTGGCGGCTGCAGAGTGTTGTCCCCCTCCTGGGTACCGTCCTCACGGTCCTTGGACCCCAGAAAAGGCTGCCGTGCCGTGCGGAGGGCAAGGGCTGGAGAAGGGCGTGGAGTGGGGGAGTGTGCTGGGGGGCCAAACCAAGGGGCTGCGGGGGGGGGGGTCTGGCACGCCTAGGGCCGCCCTGTGCGGTGCCTGCCCCGCGTCAGGCCTGTGGCCTGGCGCGGGTGGCGTGTCCAGACCTCCCAGGCAGTCCTGTGGTTTGCCCCCCAGCACACCCCCGAGTTAAGGACCGGCATACATATGCAATTTTCAGGGGGGGGGGGTGGGAGTTAAACACGGACGGCCTACGTAGCCTTAAGGCCAGTAGGTGGGGGTGTTAGATAGCGTAGGCCCCCTCCCCAGATTGCTGTATGCGAACGGTGGAGCACCACCTCGCACGCCTTAGGTGGCAAGCGCGCGGTGCGGTAGGCGCCGCGTGCTTGCCGCCTAGGAATGCGTGGCGTAGGGTACCCTTGCATCCCGATGCGTACAGTAGCTGGGGGGTTTGAGGGGGGTCTAGCCTACTCTGACCATTGGCGTGTCCGCACGCAAAAAGGTGGGGCAGGGTATGTCCGTATATGGCAAGCGCCTAGGAATGCGTGGCGTAGGGTACCCTTGCATCCCGATGCGTACAGTAGCTGGGGGGTTTGAGGGGGGTCTAGCCTACTCTGACCATTGGCGTGTCCGCACGCAAAAAGGTGGGGCAGGGTATATATATATATATATATATATATATGTTCGTATACAAAGAAATTGTTGCTCACGAGGCCCGGGCGCCCGGGGCCCGGGCCACGGGGGGGCATGGGAGGACCAGGGTTTCCCAGACCGCTCCCAGAGCACCCCGGAGCGGCCCTGGAGCTCCCAGACTGCCCCAGAGAGCTCCCAGAAGCCCTCGGGCACTTCGACAAACCCGCAAGTACACAGCCCAAGAGGCCTCCAAGAGGCCTCAAGAGAGCTCCGCGAAGCATCCCGACAGAGCCCAAAGAGGCTCAAATCATTGATTTTCAATCTTTTTCGGGTACTCGCGTTTTCGACCCTTCCGACGCTCCAAGACGGCCGACGACGCCCCCAAGACCGCCCCAAGACGGCCGAAGAGGCCCCCAAAAGAGCCCCGAGATGGCACCAGGGAGTTTGAAGATTGCCAAGGAGGAGCCCCGGATGGCCCAAGAGATCCCCGGGACAGGCCCAAGCTGAGCCACAGAGCGCGAGCGGGACGCGCCAAGGCGTTCCAAGACGGCCCAGATGGCCCCACCGTGGCCTCAGATGAACCCAACACGGCAAATACACAGCCCAAGAGGATTCCAAGAGGCCTCAAGAGAGCTCCGAGAAGCATTCCGAGAGAGCCCGAAGAGGCCCAAAGCCTTGATTTCCACGGTTTGTTTAAATGTGTTTTTCGGTGTCTCGCGTTTTCGACTTTCGACGCTCCACGACGGCCCACGACGCCCCCAAGACCGCCCCAAGACCGCCGAAGAGGCCCCCAACAGAGCCCCAAGACGGCCCAGAGAGCCTGAAGACTGCCCAAGAGCGGCCCAAAATTGCCCAAGAAAATCCCAGGAGAGGCACAACATGGGCCCCAGAGTGGGAGCGGGAGGCCCCAGGGCGCTCCAGGACGGCCGAGATGATTCCAACGTGGCCCAAGAGGAGCTCAAGACGGCAATCACACAGCCCCAAAGGCCTCCAAGAGAACCCAAGAACGCTCCGAGTGACGTCCCGAGAGAGCCCAAAGAGGCTCAAATCATTGAGTTGCATTGAGTTGTTTTATGTTTTTCGCTTTCTCGCGTTCTCGAGCTTCCAATGATCGAAGACGACCGCAGACGCCCCCAAGACCTCCCCGAGACCGCCGAAGAGGCACCCAAAAGAGCCCCAAGACGGCCCCAGGGAGCCCGAAAATTGTCCAGGAGGAGTCCCAGACGGCCCAAAAGAACCTCAGGACAGACCCAAGCTGGGCCACACAGCGGGAGCGGGAGGCCCCAGAGCGCTGCAAGACGGCCCAGATGGCCCTGGCCTCCCCCCTCCTTCTCTCCCGCCCTCTCCTCTTGCCTCCGTTCCCTCCTCTCTCCCCTTCCTCCCCTCGCAGCTTTCGTGCTCTTTCCTCCTCTCCTGGGACGGCCCCGCCAGAACGCCAGACAGGCCCCGCTAGAGCGAGCGGGGCATCGCTATACCTTATCATTTCACAAGTTGCTTGCCCCCTCCCAACCCTGAAGGGCGGCACTGGCTAAGCGAAAGTGTTCTAACTACGCGTTTCTTTGCGTCGACGGCATGGGCCCGAAAACGCTGGAAATATTTGTTGTGACCACAGCGGGGCTTACAGCGGCACCCGTGCCTCATCTGCGGCTAGAAACCTAAGCGCGCACGTAGCGCGCGCGGTTCTTTTATGTGTACACACATATGCATACATGTATACATGTATAATTATATATACATACATACATATTTATATGTATATATAATTATACGTCATATATATGTGTGTATGTGTGTAAGTATGTATGTATGTATGTATGCATGCATGCATGTATGTATGTATGTATGTATGCATGTATGTATGTATGTATGTATACATATATATATATATATGTGTGAGGGGGGGCGTTCGGGTATTCCCCACATTTTTTTACAAAAAAAGAGAAGAAACAGGGGAGCCGATTGTCAAGGGTCGTCTTCCTCCTCGTTCTCCTCCCACCTCTCCTCCTCCACTTCCTCCCTCCTCATCCGCCTTCATCCTCCCTTCCCCGTCCTCCCTTCTTTACAACGGCAAGGAAAACAAAGAAGACACAAGGAGCAACAAACAATAACAAAGAAGTCAAAGGCGGGTCACCGAACACCAAAACAAAAAAACGGGAGAATCAAACAATTTGCTTGACGAAGGACCCAACCATATGCAGGTGTGAGTTCCGCAATTGTGATACATTTTTTCGGTGGGGGAGCTGCATGCGGACTGCGCCACGGGGACCTCCGGTGGAGCTCCCTATGGGGCCACGAAACGCTGAACTGGGTGAGGGAGACGCATGCGGACTGCGCCACGGGGACCTTCGGTGGGGACCCATATGTGGCCACGAAACGTTGTACTGGGTGAGGGAGACGCATGCGGATTGCGCCACGGGGACCTTCGGTGGAGTTTCTTATGGGGCCACGAAGCGTGTGAGGGGGGTGCCGAAATGAGTGGCGGGGGCGCATGCGGACTGTGCCAGCAGGACCTTCGGCGGAGCCCCTATGGGGCCACGAAGCGTGTGAGAGGTGTGCCGAAATGAGTGGCGGGGACGCATGCGGACTGTGCCACTGGGGCCTTCGGCGGAGCCCTTATGGGGCCACGAAGCGTGTGAGGGGTGGGCCGGAATTCGTGGCGGGGACGCATGCGGACTGTGCCACTGGGACCTTCGGCCGAGCTCCTATGGGACCACCAAACGTGTGAGGGGTAAGCCGAAATGAGCGGCGGGGGCGCATGCGGACTGTGCCACTGGGAACTTCGGCGGAGCTTCTATGGGGCCACGAAGCGTGTGAGGGGTGGGCCGGAATTCGTGGCGGGGACGCATGCGGACTGTGCCACTGGGACCTTCGGCCGATCTCCTATGGGACCACCAAACGTGTGAGGGGTAAGCCGAAATGAGCGGCGGAGACGCATGCGGACTGTGCCACTGGGACCTTCGGCGGGGCTCCATATGGGGCCACGACACGTGTGAGGGGTGTGCCGACATGAGTGGCGGGGACGCATGCGGACTGTGCTATTGGGACCTTCGGCTGAGCCCCTATGGGGCCACGGAGCGTTGTACTGGGTGGGGGAGACGCATGCGGACTGCGCCACGGGGACCTTCGGTGAAGCTCCCTATGGGGCCACGAAACGTTGTACTGGGTGAGGGAAACGCATGCGGACTGCGCCACGGGGACCTTCGGCGGAGCCCCTATGAGGGCACGAAACGGTGTACTGGGTGGGGGAGACGCACGCGGACTGCGCCCCGGGGACCTTCGGCGGGGCTCCATATGGGGCCACGAAACGGTGTACTGGGTGGCGGGGACGCATGCAGACTGCGCCACGGGGACCTTCGGTGGAGTTTCTTATGGGGCCACGAAAAATTGTACTGGGTTGGGGAGACGCATGCGGACTGCGCCACGGGGACCTTCGGCGGAGCCCCTATGGGGCCACGGAACGCTGTACTGGGTGGGGGACACGCATGCGGACTGTGCCAGCAGGACCTTCGGTGGGGCTCCATACGGGGCCACGAAACGCTGTACTGGGTGAGGGAAACGCATGCGGACTGCGCCACGGGGACTTTCGGCGGAACCCTTATGGGGCCACGAAGCGCTGTACTGGGTGGGGGAGACGCATGTGGCACACACCACTGGGGCCTTAGGTGGACCTCCATATGGGGCCACGAAACGCTGTACTGGGTGAGGGAGACGCATGCGGACTGCGCCACGGGGACCTTCTGCGGAGCCCTTATGGGGCCACGAAGCGCTGTACAGGGTGGGGGACACGCATGTGGTACACACCACTGGGGCCTTAGGTGGACCTCCATGTGAGGCCACGAAGCGCCGTGCTGGGTGTGGCGGGCGCATGTGGCAACACCCCACTGGGAACGGGGGGGGGGGCACGGGAAGAGGA